GAGGGAGCGAGGGAGCGAGGGAGGCCCTCCCGGGAGCGAGGGAGGGAGCGAGGGAGGGAGCGAGGGAGCGAGGGAGCGAGGGAGCGAGGGAGGGAGCGAGGGAGCGAGGGAGGGAGCGAGGAGGTTGGCTGCAATGTATTGGCTCATTTCGTTCTTTGTTCATTACAAAACCTGAATCACTGTCTTGAACAATCTGGTCATTCTCACCAGCCACAAGTTACAACATTCCCAGCACACTTCACCTCTTTCTCCTATGTCCCGTGGGAACGTCCAAGACCAGCCTCGGCATGATCCGCAGCTCACTGACGGACACCATCGTCTGTGTCGAGGGCCTGCTGCCGAGGCACGGGAGCGCGAGCCAGCTGAATCTGGCAGAACATGAGTGAAACTATTACACCGTCTGAAAAGAAGATGATGATACAGCAAAACCAAATATCACCATCTGAAGACAAAAGGCTTCATTGAATCTGAAGTCACATTGAGTCGATTAGTTCTTCACCTTGACTCACATCCAACTTCAGTAGTGATCGTGTCAGTCATTTCGTTGCTGGGCATCATTTATGAAGAAGTGTTTGTATTTGATATGAATCAAAGAACTATATGCAGTAGACTCGACAACGACGGAGCAGGAGGGTGAGCAAGGAGTTCAGTGGCTGTTCTCGTACCGCCCCCGCACAGGAGAGCAACATGGAGAAGCAAGAGGATAGGCAGGCAGTAGCGTGACAGGAGCGAATGGCAGGGAGGAAGGGAACGCGAGGGCTGGTCTCAAGGTTCCATCCCCCAACCACCTGTACGTTGGATTCAGACCTTCAAAGGTCCTTTGAACTCAAATTAGCAAGGAGCCTGGGAGTACTTATTATTCCAACAACACAAATACAAACACAAACACATTCGCAATTCCATCCTTTCACTGTTCCCAGGGAATCCCTTCCTCCTCCCTTCCGATCCATCCTCATTTCTTTCGTCAGCTTCCTTCTTGCCTCCTCCTCCTCCTCCTCCTCTGCTTCATTCGTTCAGCTTCATCCATCAGGCCAGTGCCGATCTGTCGTAGATGGAGGACGCGTCTGAAGGAGGATCGTGAAGAGGAGGGGAGAGGGAGTCGGAGGGAGCGAGGGAGACTGGTAGAGGAGCAGGAGCGAAATCCGGTTGAGGGAGGGTCAGGGAATGCAGAGGAATCGCCTCAAGCTCTTGCTCCCTGGGATCCTGCCCGAAGGACTGAAGTCCGTTGACCTGCCGTATGGTAGTGAGAGGAAACAGAGGAGGAGAGGTGAGGTGTCGGGGGAGTAGCGAGGAGAGAAATGAAGAGAAGGGGGGGAGGGGAAAGGAGACAAGAGGGCTGGGCCGGGGCAACTTTTACCTTGCTGATAGTTGGAGTCATTTCGAGAGGTGCAGAGGAATCAAGTCGAGCCGTCGGTGAGACGGCGCCGGGCAGTGAAGGCTGAGAGGAGGAGGGCAGAAGGAGGGGAGGCCACGAGTGAGAAAGAGGGGAGGGAAGCAGGGGTGGAGGAGGAGGACAAGGAGGAGGAGGAGGAGGAGGATGATGATGAGGAGGAAGAGGAGGAGGAAAAGTTAGATCAGAAACAAGCAATACTCCCCATGCCCTATTCCTCCTCCTCTCTCCCCATGCCCTTCGCCTTCTTCTCACTCTTCCCTTGCCCTCCTCTCACCGTTGAGGGCCCTGGGATCGAGACGAGTTGCTGTGGCGATGACGACTCGAGATTTGGCGAGAAGAGAGTTGCCTGGGGCTGAAAGTTCTCAGCAGACTGAGCAACACAGTCAGACTGGACGGCAGAAGGAGGAGAAAGAGAGGAGACCGAGTGAGACAAGATCGGGATGGAAACAAGAGCAGGCGGGGAGGCGTGGGGGCGAGAGGCCGTCTGAGCCACTTGAGAACTTGGCTGGAGCAAGAGGTGAGAAGAAGACGTAAGAAAAGAAGCAGGTTACGAGGTGAGAAGGGACGGGGACAGTTACGAGCTCATCTCGCGTCTGATGGCTGTAGAAGTCCTGCTGATAGTGAGGAGGAAGGAGGGGAGGACGAGACGGTTGCGTACATCTCCTTCTTGCGCGACTGTTAGACATGTCAGACACAGCTCGAAGAACACCCACGATCCTCACCCGGTGTCTGGTAGTTGTTGGGAAACATCCCGACCCTCCCGTTTTCTGGCTTGAGATGTCAGAGGAGGGGGAGGGTGAACAGGAGGAGGAGTAGGAGGAGCAGCAGCAGGAGCAGGAGCAGCAGCAGCAGCAGCAGCAGCAGCAGCAGCAGCAGGAGACAAGAATGCACGAGAGAAAATCAGTGGAAGGCAAGTCAAGAGTAGGACGAGCAGAGGTGAAAGTGTCTCTCACCGAGCTGATAGGTCAGCCATGAAGAATTTTGAAGAGCCTCTGGTGAAGTTGGCTGGGGAGGCTGGAGAAAAAGCAGTAAGAAAACTCCTTAGGCTCAAAACGGTCAAAGTTCACCAGCTCCCCTTGATTCTCCACATCTGTTTTTACCTCTTGTGGCACTGCATTGTCATCACTTTCGCGCTCCTCCTCCTCCTCATCATCATCATCATCATCATCATCATCATCATCATCATCATCATCATCATCATCATCGGCACCATCATCATCGGCACCATCATCATCATCATCATCGGCACCATCATCATCATCATCATCGGCACCATCACAAACACTCCGTCAAAATTATCGTCTTTGTTATTTTCTTTTTCAAAACCAAAATCATCATCGTCCCACCCCAATCCACCCCCGCCACTTCCCCTCTGGCCTATTCCCTTGCCAGCATCGAGACTTACCATTCACGTTCCCTTCCTGCTCTGCGAGGTTTTCTTTCTTTTTCGTCTGGTCGAACTTGTACTTGACGTATATCACTGTGGGAGAAAAGGTTGGATCAGAAGAGCGAGGAGTGCTTGTCTTGCTACAACATCACCAAAGATAACGACAAGCACTGCGAGATTCTCCTTCTTCTTTCATTCTTGAAACAATCACACCAGAATGCAGCTGACGGGTGAAATACATCTCAAGACAAGACAAGACAGCAAGTTCAGAACAAAAAGAGTTGTGGGCTGGGATTGTAAAAGGACCTTGATGATGATGATGATGATGATAATGAGGAGGAGGAGGAGGAGGAGGAGGAGGAGGAGGAGGAGGAGGAGGAGGAGCAGAAGCAGAAGCAGAAGCAGCAGCAGCAGCAGGCAGGTAAAGAGGCGAGAGGCAAGTCAAATGAAGAACTGGAAAAGAGGGGCAGGGGGAGCAGTGAGGAGGATCGAATAAAGATTTTGATACTGACCGACAATCAGAGCGAGCAAGGCGAGGCCCAGGCTGAGCAAAACAGCCTGAAGGACCAGTGTGAGGTCACGGAGTAGGAGAGGAGAGGAGAGGAGAGGAGAGGAGAGGAGAGGAGAGGAGAGGAGAGGAGAGGAGAGGAAAGGAAAGGAGGAGGAGGAAAGTGAAGAGAAGAGGAGCGAGAGGAGGAGAAGGAGAGGAAGGAGAGGAAGAAGAGGGAAATCGGATAACGAGGGATAAGTAAACAGAAATAAATAGAAGCAAAGAGTAGAATGAGATCGACTAACCAGCAAGATGTGCTTGTCGCTCGATGTTTTCTTGCTCTGAAAACATGTCAAGGTGAGCAAGCAGGAGCAGAAGCATTAGACTTGTTTGTTTACCGTGGAGTATGGAAAGCAGGGGAGGTCATTAGTGCCGAAGGCAAAGATTCCAAAGCTGCAACCTTTCAGTGAGAAGAGGAAAGGAGGGGCAGCGTAGCCAACGGTCAAGAGGAGGAGGGCGAAAAGAATTACGAAGTAGAGCAAGGAGGAGGAAGACTAGGAATGGAATGGAGACTTCCTAGATTTCTTACCTGGCTGAGGAAATCGTTGAGCAGAGGATCGGATCTCCACATGATGCCGAGCAGGTGCAAAGATTCTGAGGAAGAGGAGAAGAAAAGTGAGCGAGGAGAGGAGGAGAGGAGAGGAGAGGAGAGGAGAGGAGAGGAGAGGAGAGGAGAGGAGAGGAGAGGAGAGGAGAGGAGAGGAGAGGAGAGGGGAGAAAGGGAGACTGGGAGGATGGGGGAATAAGAAAGCAATTGAAGGAGCAGGGGCAGAGGCATGATACAGATGCGTTTGCGTTGATCATTCTGTACTCTGAGCAGCAAGTGAGGAGAGCCAAGGTATGTCAGATCCTCAACCTGTGTTGGAGCCGCAGGTCTTCTCTTGACGTCTTGACATGGCGAAGCCCAAGTTGTAGGTCTGCTCGACGGACATCTGGTGTTTTGTGATCAACGAGAAGATTCGAAAAGTGGATTAGAAGTCGTCATCTCCTACAGCTTCAACTCTTTCCCCGTCATCCTCTCCATCGTTATCACCATCTCCACATCCTCGACCACAATCATCATCAACAACAACAGCACCAGTAGCAGCACCAGCACCAGCAACAGCAGCACCAGCAACAGCAACAGCACCAGCACCAGCAACAGTCATCATCATCATCACTTGTCTTCTATCATAACAGTGTCATCTTCATCACCTTGACTCTGACAGGAACGTTGTTTTCTTTGGCAAGATCGACGACGAAGAGGCGAGAAGCACGTGGGGCCCTGACTCCGTTGGTGTAGATGGAGACGTCGTTAGCTTGTTCCTGTTCTCATATCAAAGGACGGTAGGCAGACAGACGGACCAACAGAAATTGTCAGCTGAGTTGGGACGATGTTGTCGACAAATACGAGCTGAGAACATCATGTCAGAAAAAGCAGAGGAGGAGCAGGAGCAGGAGCAGGAGCAGCAGGAAGAGCAGCAGGAGCTTGAAGAGGAAAAAAAGCAGGAGCAGGAGCAGGAGCAGGAGCAGGAGCAGGAGCAGGAGCAGGAGCAGGAGCAGGAGCAGGAGAGGCAGGAGCAGCAGAAGGAGCAGGAGCAGGAGCAGGAGCAGGAGCAGGAGCAGGAGCAGGAGCAGGAGCAGGAGAGGCAGGAGCAGCAGAAGGAGCAGGAGCAGGAGCAGGAGCAGGAGCAGGAGCAGGAGCAGGAGCAGGAGCAGGAGCAGGAGCAGGAGCAGGAGCAGGAGCAGGAGCAGGAGCAGGAGCAGGAGCAGGAGCAGGAGCAGGAGCAGCAGATAGAAAGGATCACCGGTTGTTTTTCGCCAAAGGGGTGAAGTCCGTAGGCAAAGTATGCTTGTGGGATGAACTTAACACCAGAGGAGACCCGAGCAAAGGTATAGTTGCTGTCATCACAATCAGGGAAGAAGCAAGGGCAAAGCATTCGATGTTGTTGAGTTGTTGCAAGTGGATTGAAAGATAAGATGAGTTGTGAGAGGTTACAGACAAGGTAAAGCAAGGAGGGGGGGAAGCGAGTTGCAACACGAAAGAAAAGAATGCGACGAGTATGAAACAAGGCAATCAATAATCAAAATGTCATCAAGATCTCAATCAGTGTTACGTGAATGTGTTGGAAAATCATCACGTAACATCATGTGCCATCTCATACAACATCATTCATGACATTTTCTATCACTCACAGTCCGCCTTCGCTGTAGATCTCTGCGATTGTAACTCCGATGAGAGGAGAGATCTTGCGGATGTAGTAGTTGCCCTTGTCGCACATGTAGACCTCACCATTCTTGAAGGCAAACCCCTGAGATGCGTCAGACCCAGACCGAGACAAGACAAGACAAGGCAGGGATGGCGGAAGGTAAGGCAGGAGAGAGGTACGAGTCCGAAGTCAGGAGGAAGAACAAAAGACCAAGAGGAAGATAACTTGAAGCTAGATCAACCCAGAAAAGGAACAGGGGAAACAGGGAGATATGTTACCGAAGGAAGGTAAAACTTCGAGTCCTCCAGAATGCCATTCTTATAACCCTCAGCAACAGAGCCTAGACTCTTTGTTAGCAACGTCACACTCTCACAATCCCTTCTTTGCACTCTCTTGAAATTATTTCCTATGCCTCCTCTCTGCTGCCTCCTCTCCTCCTCTCCTCCCTCCTTCCAAGCTCTCCTTCTGGTCTTCTTCCCCTACGCCTGTACGTCTTGTCTCCTTCAATGGTTCTTCCCTGCTGCTGCTGCTACTGCTGCTGCTGCTGCTGCTGCTGCTGCTGCTGCTGCTGCTGCTGCTGCTGCTGCTGCTGCTGCTGCTGCTGCTGCTGCTGCTGCTGCTGCTGCTGCTGCTGCTGCTGCTGCTGCTGCTGCTGCTGCTGCTGCTGCTGCTGCTGCTGCTGCTGCTGCTGCTGCTGCTGCTGCTGCTGCTGCTGCTGCTGCTGCTGCTGCTGCTGCTGCTGCTGCTGCTGCTCATGCACCTCCTCTTGCCACTCCTCTTTCACCTGTCAAGGTCGTGATGTTCATTTGTCCTGACGGGTCGACAGCAACGTAGCGAATTCCGTTGTAAGCGGGTTCAGCGAGAACTGCATAACAACCTCAGTTGGTATTTCCTCCTCCTGCCCTCTTTCTCCTTTGCTCTGCCTTCCCCTTCATGTTGTCTGCCCCTCTATCCCCTTCACATCCCCGCTACTCCGCCCCTTCATCCCTCTCCTCCCTCTTCTTCTTCATCCTCAAGAGTCTTACTCATGTTGTTCGAGTACTGTGACGGGACCCTTCGAATGTAGGCGTCTGCACCGAGTCTGCAGCACAACTTACAAACCTCCGACAAAGACACGATCTCTTCGATCAACAATATCATGCTTGTAGAATCCCACTGCATCATGATAGACGTGGTAGCACAACCATCGCTTCTCCATCTTGCCATCCTCACAACATCTGCATCATATCTCACCTTGCGAAGGGATACGATCCATCTATCTGCTTTGAGTCCTTTCACGATCGTCAGCTCCAGCCATTCACCTTCCCATCTCACCCCAGAGACTCCGAGGACAGTCTTCACATACCCGACGGAAGGGCACAGGGAGTCAACGACGAGACAGACTATTCGGATCTGAGGTCGTGTCAGCAACGGGAGGGCCTCTCCGACTTGTCGACCGTCCCCAGGCTTGTGACGTAGAGCCTCGTGTCCGACGAGTCCACGATCATGCCTGGAGCGCTGTGTCAGCAGCGAAGGACGCTACTCGTTCTCAGCAGCATGATATCGAGGAGTAGAGAAGAAGGAAGAAAATGAGATTTCGAGATAGAGGGACAATAGAAGGGGGAGAGCGAGAGCGAGAGCGAATAGGCTTTCTGTATCCGAATGCCAACTGCCCATTCAAGCGCATGCTTCTCATACTTAGAATCGTCTCAAATCTGACAGTCGCCGCATCGCCGTCTCGCCATCGTGCCTGTAAGGGCGCGTATCAAGCAACGACACTAGGCACACGACACACAAGCACATTGATATCGCGAGGGCCTGACAGCGACGAGACTGTGTTCAACTTCGTGTCGACCATGAGGATTCTGCTTGATTTCCCCCTGCGATGAGTTCAATCAGCTACTAGTCAAAGAAGCAAGCAGCGATCTTACTGCTTCTCTGTCGACACGAAGAAGTACCTTCCCTGTGACGAAGCTGCAACGGCCTTGGGTCTACGCAAGGTCAGCGAGTCTCATCAACGGACCTCGACAGGCTCACTTAGCGAGGACAGCCGTGTCAAAGCTTCCCTCTGCCTCCACCAGGTCGTTCTCAGTTGTCCCTGTAAAGCGCTTTCCTGACGTATCACTTGTCATTGGCATACTTGACATGCGGTGACATCCGTACCAGTCAGTGTCGTCACTTTCCTGGTGCTGATGTCGAAGAATCGCAAGCAGTAGTTGTTCGTGTCAGCAATCAGGATCTTCGTGCCGTCTGTGCTCATGACTGCAGAGGAGAGCAATCAGAAGATCGTATTCCACTTCTCCGCCCTCACCGAAGTCCCGCGGCTGATTGAACCTTGCGCTGAGCCCATCTCCATCCACGTAGCCTAAGAGTCAGCAAGCAGTCAAATCACCTGCACCTCATCACGTTCCTGCTGCTCTCACCAGCATCATTGTGATTTCCGGCTACTGTACTGATCTGTGGCGATCACATCAGAGGCATGTTCCTTGTTGCACGTGTGATTCAGCACCGTTCCGTTGTCGAAGTTGAGCATGAGGATCGAGTTGCCGGCGTCTGTCAGCATGTAGAAGATCCGTTGTGGCCCTGTGGGATCGTGAAACTCTATCACAGGCCCCTCCACCTGCCGCTACCTGGAATGGTCTCCAGCAGGACCGGCTTTAAGATGGAAACCTGTAGCAGGTTTGCGTTGATGATGGTGCTGACATAAGCACTGGTCAGCCACAAGGTCAAGAAGGTCATCAGCGCATCACTCGGGGTCTGAGTCTATTCCTGTCCCTGCCACTGTTGTGACATTTCCTTTCTATGATGCAGAGTATGAGCATCGGCGACGACGAGACAAGACCCAAAACTAACCTTAAAAGCCGCCATGGTCGTAACGTCTTGCCCAGTCTCTGCATTCGTGACGTACACAAAGGCTGAGGGCATCGGAGTCAGTCCATGCCCCAACAAGTATCATCAAGGTCACCAGCGACAAGGATGGTAGTCTGCTTCACCGGCAAGGCACATTTCAGTACAAGATTCGCACGAGACTCGCAAACAAGCTTACGATCCAGATTGGAGAACGTCCATGGAATCCGGCCATCTGCTCTTGAGAGTTACGAAGGACCAAAAGTGCAGAATGAGCTGAGACTAGACAAAATGCTTCACTCCAGACGAAATCTAATCACTGTCGATCATGTTCAAGCAACATCCTGGCCACAAAACTTCTGCGAAAACGACTTGAACATGTCTTATCTGGCTGCTTTAGTAGAGTCTTGTCCTGTGTCTCTTGTTTGTGACCTCCTTGTAGTCTAATGATGAAAGTTTCGATACTGGGAGCCATGGCAGGCAATCAGCACACAGTCATCAACAGTCTCCTGGTGGAAAGACGGCGCGAATTCTATATCTCCTTGAAGCCTCGATTATCTATGCTTGATCACTGAATGATCCTCCTCATCCTACAACTATCTCTCCCTGTTTTTTTGAGCTTCCTCCTGTTTGAGCTCTTCCTGCTCCTCCTGCTCCTGTTGCACTATCGTCCTCATGCGACGGGGTGGACTGCCATGCGGACCAAGTGACCTCCACCCCTACCCTCTAATTCCAATTGCATCATCTACCCCTACATCAGACCAGAGGGCGAGAGCACCCCCCTTCTCGTTGGTTTTCAGGGGAAAGTTTGGGTCCGAGACATCACCCCTACCCCCTAATCTACATGACCCTACGACCTACCCATCCTTCCCTTCGAACACTTCCCGCCAACACCTTCCGTCAGTGCATAATGACCGGATCCCATAGCCCAGTTTGACGACCCCTACCACCCCTCAATTGACTGGCCACTACCCCTCACCAAGCTCCTGACTGTTACACTTTTGAGGGACACATCCACCCATGCTTGTCAATAAATCAATGTAGTACCCTACCCTACTCAGTTGTTCACTTTTAGGCACTCTATTCAAAACACCCCTTCCTTTTAGTACTTATCCAGGTCATTTTATTGGTGGGGTAGTCACTGAAAGAACCCTACCCCTTTTTCAGGGATCACTGCTTGGTGAAGCATAACGGTCAATTCAATTCTGAATTACTCATCAGATATTTGAAATTTATCCATGAAATTTCGAACTAATGACTGAGTGTACTCCTGCGAAAGCGCAGTTTGGGTCAAATTTCAGAACTTGACATTGAAAGTTCGGTGAAATTTTGAAATCTGATTAAGTAATTTGGTGACTTAAACGGCTACTCGCCTCCGCCCGGCCCGGCCCGGGATGCCACTGCTGAGGCAACCGCTGGGGTCGCCATGCTGGGGAGCGAACCGAACGGGGACAAAGGCAGGAGAGGAGGAGGGGGAGGGGGAGACGTTGCCGGGGGCTGAAGGAGCAGGAAGGGAGCCTGGTTCGGTCTACGTAGACTACATCTTCATATCATGCTGAGCTCGGCTCGACCTCCATCAGGTCGCCCTCCAGCAGCCTGCAGGCACAAACTCCCGTCAAGAAGGCGCATGACATGAGGCACGCAGTACCTGCTGCTGCTGGGCGAGCGGTAGAGGACGGAGACTGGAGGGTACTCGAACCTTGGGAGCGGTCAATCAGGAAGAGCAAGTGTTGTTCGTCCTCCACCTATCATTGGATTGCTGGCAGAGCGACCGACGGGTCCCCACGATACTCTGCATCACACCAGCTGCCTCGTCCCACAACACCTGACAGGAGTCATCATTCTCCCGCTGTCTCCTTCCTCCGTCTCCTGCCCGGTCTCCCTCCTCAAACCTCCCTCACCGGGTTCAGCCTGTAGTTTGGAAACGTCACATCTTTCCAACAGTCGGCCGCTCCCTGCCCGTGCACTTGAGTGATCGAGAGGGCAATGGTGTCAACGCTGCACCATCAGCAGCTCCTCGACGCCCGTCGCACTCGACGCATCCTGACAAGTACGAGGGAAGTCAGGACTGGACTGCTACAACTTTGCGGGGTGGATGAACGGGGTCTTCCGCACCTGCTTCTTGCTCACGCAACGCTTCCATCGTGAGAACGAGTTAGTCACAACATCGTGACTGACTCGCTGCTGCTCACTGTCACACCTAGCGATCGCCCGCCAAGCAGTACCGGCGTGTTGTGCTGAAGTATCTTGAAGGTGAGGGCGAGGAGGAGACTGACGTTGAGCTGCTGGAGGGCGTGAGCAAGCGATAAGAGCGACAGAAAAGGAGAAAGGAGAGACCGTCTGCGATTGATCCGCAAGTCCAACCTCCAACATCTCCAGGAAGAGGTTTTGAACCTGCGCGACACAAGGCACAATAAGAGGGCCGAGCAAGCACGAGAATGAGAGATGTAAGTCAAAGTGACAATTGGGTACGAGGAGGAAACGACCAAAGGAGGGAAGGTGGGGAAGGAGACCGGGGGTTCAAGGTGAGAAGGTTCACGAACTCAGAGATAGGGACGAAGAGGACGAGAAGAGAGGGTGAAGAGGGAGTAGACGCACCGCTGTCAGCCTGTCAAGCACCTCGGCATCGAAACTCGCGGCACGTTCAAGATCCCCCTCAAGGCTTTTCTGCAGAGATGGTTGAGAGCAGGTCAGAAGCTGCGTGATATTGATGACTTTGACGGTGCGTCTGGTGGTGATGACATGCCTGTGGTGGAGTATGTCTTGATGCACATCAGATTATCATGATTCGAAAGTCAAAACGACATCATGGTTGGTAATGATGACGACGACGACGACAACGACGACGACGATGATGATGATGATGATGATGATAATGATGATGATGATAATCCCAAGAAAGGATGTCAAAATCATCATTTTACCTGCAGCTCGTAAGCCCCACATAGCAGCAGAACGCATTGCTCCATGTCCTGACTGCTGATACACTTGTCTGCCGCCGAGATCGCTCTGAAACTTGTTGAGCAATGCTGTGGTATTGAAAGATGGGGAGCAGGAGGGAGGAGATGGTGAACATGAAGATCAGGGGAGAGGAAGCAAGGGAGAAGGAGGGAGAGAAAGAAGGAGGGAGGGAGGAGGAGCAAATATTCTGACCTCGATATCGACAAGAACTCACAGTATACTTCCCTGGCTTTATCTAGAGATAGATAACACGACATCAGTGTGATTCAGGCGAGTTGCGAAGGAGAAGAAGTTGGATACAAAAGAGGAGGGGCGAGACGTGAAGAGAAGAAGGCGGGGAGAGGAGAGGGAGAGGGAGAGGGAGAGGAAACGGGTATAATATATCAAGAGAAAAGAGAACAAATCCAAGATAAGGGGTAATGACGAGAAGAGTGGGAATTTGGAGTATTACCCAGAAAAGCCTGATCTGTCGGATTTATGACAAGGGTGTCATGGAACTTCGATTCAAACATGGTCTGCGTCTAGTCTGAGGCTGGCCCACGGCTACCTCCCCCTTACCCTCGTCTCGTTGTCGTCCAACTCTTTCGATGCAAAGACTTGTGGGATGGTACCCGTGGCAATCAGATACTTGCAGAGATCCGGCTTCTAACGTCACCAGGTTCAGGACTCGAAAGTCCGTGAGAGGAAGCAGGGAGTGGACGGCATGCAAAGAAACAGCAAGCAGGCAAGGATCAAGACGTGAATGTGAAAGGATTTTTGTAACTTTCAGAACCTGGAGCCTGTCAAGGAAAGCTTCGAACGAGTACCAATTCATCCCCTCCTTGTCCTTCACAACATCTCTGTTGATGACCTTAATCTGTTCCAAGAATCAGCCACTCGTGCCTTGCCTCACAGTCCTCCACGTTCACCTCCTGCATCTTCTCATTCAGAGCGGCTTCGAATCTCATGAGCGACGTTCTCCGATCCCAGTTCCGCATCTTCTCAGGCCGTCAAGTTCGACAGGGCAGCCTCCTCCTGCCTTCACCTCCTCCTTCAGCCTTCTGTTGTCGTCTTCCACCTCTGACCGCAGTAGGTCGGGGAGATGAATCGAGAACTTCCCCTGTCGATCGCACTGTCACAGTCGATCGCCGCCGCGGCTGTACCAGCACTCACATCTTCCTTGTCCCTCCTGTACATCAAGCAGTATGCTGACGCATTCTTCTTGCCCCCCTCACTGCTCGCTGCTGGTCATGCACGAGAACAACGAGGGGCTGCGCACCTCATCTCCCAGACTTCCTTCTCTTCCACTGACGCGACCTCCGCGTCGCTGCAACAACATCAGAATCAACTTGTAACATGTTGACTGCAGGCAGGAGACAGAAACGAATGGAGATGATCTCCAAAAACTAGAGACGGAATCATCTCCAACAGCTCAGACATCATCTCTACTAAATCACATTTGCGACATCATGGTCACCTGTACTTCAGCCATCCGTCTTGTCTCTTGATATAAACCCAATAATGTCTAGAAATCCTTTCAGCAACAAGCAACCAGAAAACACTGCATCTCATCTCACCCACTTCCCGCCAGCCCATCATGTACAAGAACAGCAAATAAAGAATATCTGAAAGGAGATCACTTCTTTTCCTTAGTAGACATCATAGCAACAACCGATCTGAGTTAAACTCAGCGAAAAGAAGATCAATCTGCTTTTGAATGTCCTGCAGCTGCGTCTGCAAAATTTGTGTCTCGCCTTTGACCTTTCCGAAAATGTCATTGCTTGACAACAATCGGCAAAAGGGGGTGACGGAGAAAGCGAAGAGAGGAGGAAGAGCAGAAGGCGAGAAGGGAACAGAGAATGGAGAGAGGAGCCGGAGAAAGGAACGGAAAGAGAGAATGCGGGAAGAGGAGCCAGAGGAAGGGGCGGGAAGAGAGAAGGCGGGAAGAGGAGCCAGAGGAAGGGGCGGGAAGAGAGAAGGGAGAGAGGGGAAGGAGGGTTCAAGCAGAATGAAAGGAGGAGCAAGGAAGGACAAGTTCGACACTCGTCGACGTGTACAAGTCAAGAGCACGAGGAGTACAAGTCAAGAGCACGAGGAGTACAAGTCAAGAGCACGAGGAGTACGAGACATGCAGTTGGAACCTGAGAGGTCAGAGAGCTAAGCATTTCAAGCACGTGATCGACTTTCTCGAGGCCCCCTCCTTCGCTCCGCTCCTTCAAAAACGCCATGGCGCCTCTGAGATACTCGTCCGCTGCCACGTCCGTCCGCTCAAGTCCCGTGGAAGAGAAATGCTAACGATGGCAAGTCAGAGGATGTGAGAGGAGGGAGGGGGAGTACCAGGAGGTGCTGCAGCTTCTGATTGAGATGGTCGAACTTGTGTCGAAGTTCTGGGATTTCAGTCATCTGTCGTTCCAGCCCCTGCTTTCTCCAGTTTTCTTCCTCTCGCCCTCAGCTTCCCGTCTCTATCTTTGATCTGCTAACGGCTGCCTCCTTCCCTCCTTCTGCTCCTTCGATACCACCACCTGCATTACCTCCTCCTGCCCCTGCCCCTGCCCCTGCTCTTCCTCCATCATCTCACCGTTTCTCTTAATTCTTCGGGGCATCAATTTCGTTCTTCGTCAGGTCGTCAGCAGCGTTCCAGAGAGTCTAACGGGGCTCACTTGTGCGCGAGAAGGTAGCGATCCATAAAGAGCTCGTTGGGGAAGGTAAAACGATCGTTCACCTGCAACAACATCACAAGCAGCAACACCCCAAGGGTTTCACCTTCACTGGAGCTTGAATATCTTTGTCATACGAGACTCTCTGAGATCACGTGCGTCAACGAGTCAAAGATGAGATGAGAGGATGTTCCAACTTGTAACTGAAATGTCAGGACGGGGGGGAACTTCTCGATCCAGACATTCTTGACGATTTTCTTCAGTCGCTAAGTCAAAACTCTCTGTTCTTCTGCCCCACTCGGCACTTTACCTGATTCCCTTGCGAGCATTCTCCGTGATAATCATCGACCTTGCCATCTCGTCAGATTCTCCGCATCCGCCACATGCCCAACTGTCTCACTTGCGCCTCCACATAATCTTCTAGAGCTCCATGAAGGTCCCCACGTGAGATGTCCTTGCGATCATGACGTCAGCACGTTTGCAAGCAAGGAGCTGGCTGACCAGAATTAGCTCGTGGAACTCACAGGACGAGGACGAGATGACCTGCGGGGATACAAAGACATCAATCAATCGTAGAAAATGTTGACAGCAGGTTCGGATTCGAACAAGTATACAATCCTGAAGAAACATCGAGTCTCTGCCTAACTCCCCAATCAAGTGACAACATCCCTCCGAGATCATTCATCCCGGATTGACACAAGTCAAGAAAACATTGCGAGAATCCCAGTAAACATGGCAAAGAATCAAGCTCACAGTTTCATTCGAGTCACTTGTCTTCTCGTCCTTTGTGAGCACTTCTTGAAGCATCTTTCCTTCGAAGATCCCCTTGGTTTACAAGCTTAAGTTCTCCCGCTTGTCATACCAACTGCAACCTTGATGATAGTGTTGGTCTCAGTTGCTTGTCCATTGGAAGCGAAGTTGAGACCTGAAGTCAAAATTCAACCAACACGTCACCTTTGACGCCATTGCAAACCTTCTTCGACCCTCTGCAGGAAGATATGGTTGAACTCGCTGACATCTTGCTGGTTTCCAACCTGAGTTGCTCATCGTCAGGAGCAGCTCTTCTCCCTCCTTGTATTGCCTTCACCGCCCTCATCGCCTCCCTCCCTTTCCCCCTCCTCGTCTCTCTCTAGATTCGATGCATTCTTACTTGGACGGGATCTCCTGACGAGTCCAGCAGGTTCTGCATGACAAGGGAGGGGTCGACGAACCTTCTGTCGCTGATCTCCTGCAGGGCAGGCTCAGAGAGGAAGCAGCAGCAGCTTCAGCTCGCACCATCTGAGCGAACAGACGCTGAAGCTGACGAACGAGCTCGACGGTCTGAGAGAACACAAGCCATCAGTCGTCTGCTGTTCCCATTCCCGGTCCCCATCTTCGCTCCCTCCCTCCTTTTCTTCCTCCACCGACCGTTCTCTTCACGTCGTTCTCATCAATCGACCCTTTGGCAAGTGGCTGAGCGGCCACAGGGTTAGCAGCAGCCAGCTGGTTCTGATCAGCAGGCAGAGCGACAGGGACGGAGGACGGAGGGCGCTTTTCCCCAGGAGGGAGAGGACACTGAAGAATCGCGTGGCGGAAAGCTGGAATAGCGCGGTATGTCTGACGAGAAGCAAGTCAGAGTCGGGAAGAAATCCTGCCATAATCAAAGGGGTGTGTATAGCAGAAAAGAAGTGATTCTGGGGACATACAAGAGACAAGGGGTTGAGAGACCTGTAACAGGGAGTTGAAGTAACAAGTGTTCCCGATATTCTTCAATCCCACCGCCATGTTGTCCTTCCTCAAAAGCCTATCATGAGTCAAGTCAGTAAGTTTCGATACCTGCACTACTAAACCCTATGTTCTCCCGACCTTGGCTTGACATAAATCAACCGCACTCCTTCTCATGCGCCTTCATGGCTAATTTCTAGTTCTCTCTACCTCTCATCCATCCTTTCATCTCTGGTCACTCTCCCTCAAAACTCACATGTGCGGATTCTCTGGCTCCTTGTAGGCCGATGGGTCGCTTGAGCACAGTGACTGCTCGATCGCTCGCGCCATCTTCACCATAACGCAATCAAAGCAGGAACAAGGTATTGCGAGCAAGTAGATCAGAACGCACCTCCTCTTCCTCCGTGCTCAATCCTGACAGAGACTATCGTCAGTTGCCACGTCATCATGACTTCAAAGCTAAACTCACCGATGTCCGTGTTCGAGGAGCGAGCCGTTGGCTTGGGTTGATCTTGAAGGGAAAGAGCAAGAGCCTGGGGGAGAAGAGAGAATTACGATGGTAAATAAAAGGCAAAAGCTGAACAGCAGTGAGACGAAGGGAAACCTGACGAAGTTGTTGAGCTTCAATATCAGTGTTCGATTGCGTGTAGTTTGACTCAGGTACAACTGTCGCCATGGGAACATCAGAGTCCTTGTTTGCCTTTCATTCAATGTTTCAGACTGCGACACTTCAACACCAGTCTCAACAGACCTTGCCAGGCGATTTGATTCCATATTCTGAAGCATAAATGGGTTGTGCAGGATTTTCTCTGGTCGGCTCTGCCAGACATAGTCATCATCGTTTCGTCGTGGTCATCATGATCGTCATTGCTCATCCCCATCATCGTCTCCATCATCATCATCCTGGTGATCATCAACATCATCAATATCATCTTTGTCATCTTTTCTACCATCGTCAAGTCATTGTCACTATGATCCAATCAACACATTCCCCATTCAAACCCCAGAAGCAGAATGTGCATCCCTTTCAACTCAGCAATACCGTAGTATGAAGGCTCATTAGAGTAGCTTGGATTGGAGAGAATCGGATTTGAATAAGCCGTGTAACCAGTATTGGAAGGAATCGCACTGCAGAAAAAATTTTAGCACCAAACACTCGAAGGAGTTTATGACATGTGGAATCGAAAAGGGAAACGTGAGGAAATTCAGCAGAGACTCATAGAAAGGTTTGAATTTGGAAGCACATATAGAGATAGACTTCAACCTTGGGAAGGGACATGGGCATATCTAGGCGTGGAGGATGTGGATTAGAGGAGAGAAATGGGTGAAGAGCTCGGACATAGGAAAGCATCGGATACATGCATGGGACAAGGAAGGGAACGAAGCAAGCTGTCTTCACCTCATCGACGGTGCACTTGGACTTCCAACTGTCTCTGTCTGAATTGAAGAAGTTGCCCTACAGACATCATGAGGAACAAACATGGCAAAGACCAAGATATGACCTTAGGTAACTGCCGCGGTCTGATGTCGCCGTGTCCGCCAGGACGTTCAACGAGCTGTTGTCGCTCTCCGTCAGGCTGCAGCATGAAATTCAGCTGTACGACAAGCTCGTCTTGCTCTACCGATACAGAGCATTCTCCAAGTCTCCGTTACAGGCTTCCAACGCCCTTCTTGCCCTGGGGCACCACATCAACCATAGCGTGACACGTAGGAGGATGTTACAAGGCGCCGTCGAACCCCATTTCCTGCAGCTGCGAGACACCATTCTCGATCTCCTGCTTCTGTGAGTTGCGCATGTCGGCTCTAGGCTGCTTGATAGAGGTGTGATGACTGCACTTGTGCTTCACGCAGCTCCCCGGGTCTGCGACTTAGACGTCCACTACTTCGTGCATGCTTCTTCGCGGTGGTCTGGAGCGTCAGCAGATCCCCTCGAGGTGCATTCGCTGAGCCTGCCAAAACGCGTATGGCTCAATGAGCGCGTAAAAGGACGGCACTTGAAGGGGGGGCAAACGAAGTTATGAGCTGGGCAACAAAGAGGTGGTAGAGTTCAAGAGCAGAAACGAAGAGAGGAGAGTCAGTCAGACATCTAGAAGGGTCAGCCCATGGAACGATGGCGCGAAAACAAGCATGTGAGGAGGGAGGAACGGGAACGCGCTGCCGGACTATTCGGCCATGCTGTGCAGAGGGAGGGGAAGGCCGAGGGCCATCAGAACGTGGGGTGGGTGAAGGAGAGACAGAAACAGGGGTATACACCAGTGGGGTAGTACTCAATTTACAACCCCCCAGGAGTATGGCTGGAAAAGAGGGGTAGAAGTTTGAGGGGTGCTACGATTAAGGGGTGTTCATGATTCGAAGGGGTACTTTTATGTGTCTCCCTTGGGAGTAAATACCGGTAGGTCCACATGCTTTTGGGGTAGGAACTTCATTTATGACGGTAGGGTACTGTAAATTTGAAAGTACCCTACCTTTGCATTTAGTACCCTACCCACCTCGTTGCCACCCCCGTCTGGACATAACTTTTGGGCAGGACGCATTGAAGCATTGTAGTCGAGACAGGAACGAGGAGGAGGAGAGGGGCAGGGAATAAGAGGAGAGGGGAGAGGGGAGGAAGAGATGGAGGAAGGGTGGGGAGGAGAGAAGATGATGAAGAGCCCAGGGAGAGGAAGAAGACGAGGGAGAGGTCAACTCGCGACCGAGAAGGAGCCCCAAGGGACTCGTGTGCCTGTACTCCGAAACTCTACGGGCGAGTCGCATCGTGACCAGTTGCTCTACCGGAACACCAGCTAGCCTGTCAAGCATGTGACGATCCGCAGCATCAGGATTAAGAGAGTATCGGTCGTAGCTGAGTGGGTTGGAGCATCGCCAAGGAGAAGATCGTTGTCGAGGAGTCCGTCAGATGCTGGCGAACAGGAGCTTCACAGTAGCTCTGGTGCTTCTGAGCACCTTAGCATCGTGTGCTGTGGCAAATGACAACAACCAGACGGCAAGGCCACAACCTGTGGAAGGATCTACTGAATGGTGGAACATGATGAAGGAGGAGGAGAGTCGTAGGACCGGGAAGAAGGTCTGGGCGTGGGACCTCGAAACCCCCCGATGGCACTTCCTGTGGTACAACGAGAGCAAGTACGAAGGCTGCTGGGAGGAGGCGATGGATCTGGATCATGACCCTCCCGAAGATCCAGACATCATGAACATGGAGCCAGTGCCGCGATCCGCCATGCCGCAGTGGTGGACCCCGACACCTTGCGGCACCTTGAACCTCTCGAGTATGCGCTGAAGTTGCTCTCCCGTGGTTTGAGCTGTGGCTGATGTCTGAGGTGCAGGCCCCTACACGCAGCATTGCTTCCCTCCGGATGGCTCGAGCCACCACGTCTGCTGCGTTAGCATACAACTTCCTGCCACCCTCCATGCCGAGCCCATCAAAGACGCAGCGTTCGTGAAGCTGGAAGACATGATCCGGGCCGCCTCCCACCCGAGCAGCTACTCCTGGTGCACCTGCAACCAGTTCATCTGTGAGGAGCTGCTGGGAGGGCGTGTCCAATGGGATCAGGTCAGTTCCTCAAGGAGAAGCAGACCAGTCCTGTTGATGGCTATGCGCAGCACGCCCTTACCAACCACCGCTTCGTGATGGAGGAGTCCATAGCCGGCATCGATCCTACCGTTCAAGAGTATGATGTCCTCCCCCCTGTTGGCAGGGATGTAACAAGCTCTGCAGCCTGGTGTTCGGAGGGATGGACGCCGTGTTCGAGCTCACCAACCGCCCCCTCCCTGAGACAGACCCGTATGATACCCCTATGGAGGAGTGGGCTCCTCGCAAGATGAACCTGAGCACTTGCGTCGACACCCTGGACGAGAAGATTTACAGCAACACTGCCATGTGTCACATCCCCTTCTGCCCTCTCTCAAGCTGGCCGGTAAGATCTGATGAGTCGCTTGAATGATAATGAATCCGTCGGAATTGGTCCGGGCCCCATCACAGCCCTACCGCACTGCCTGATCCGTAGCAAGGGGCTGCTCTCGCTTGTTTTATGCCCGACTAGCCTGGAGGCTGATGAGTCACAGGCTGGGCACTTTGAGTGTGATACTATACTATGACTTAACTTTGAGTAAAGGCGGATGTACAACGGATCCGTGGCTCCCCGGCCTGGCCGGTACTGGTCGGACCCGGTACCTGCCCCGGCCCGGCGACACTCGGGATGGCACACGGGTACAGGTAGGGTACCCTACCCCCTCTACTTACCTGAGAACTAAAAGGGTCCTGGTAGCCAGCCTGGTAGCTGGGAACCTCACGCCAAGAAATGGCGTCGGGGGCCGTGCTCACTACAGAGTTGTGAGTTTGAATGGGTTGAAGAGCGAAGCGTTTGCTTGATGTTATGTTGGTGATAGCTGTAAATGAGCTGCTTTGTTTTCTGCTGTTGGTGACTTGTTGCAAAATAATTTACAGCGGGGGTTAATGTGATGGAAACGCAGATCCAAATCTTTGCACTTTCAATTTTTTTGTCCTGATTGTTCGGAATTTTTTCGTTCCATATTTTGAAACAAATTCTGGCAGAACGCTGATCTGAAACTGAGAGAAAACTGAGCATAGTGTACGAGGATAAAACCATGGCAGATTATGAGGAAGAACTTTCACCAAAACATGGAGAAAATGTGCAAGCTTCATCGTTGCAGGAACAGTGTAGCGTCGAAGAACAAGGTATGAAGGTTGAGGAACAAAATGACCGGCATGATATTTCTTGGTTCCAGATTACACTGTCAAATTCGAAGCCAGTGAGTCGAATTCCACAGCTACCATCAACGATGTACAAACTTGGACTACAATACTAGCAATAACGTTAAAAATACAGTCGAAGAGTCGTCAAGATGAGGAACAAGAATCAGCAAATGGTGCAGTGGAATTGAACCGCGGGGGAGAGGTACCTGCATCAGGAGTCGATTTATTTTTCTTGCTTGAATTTCTCTCGTATCCATCCAAAGAATTTGCTACCCAGACTGTTGACATCATCATCCTTGCTCTATGACTAGAACGTTCATCTGAACATCTTTACTTGTGATAGTATTCGACGAAAACGATTCAGTTTGAAGCAAAGAATGATACGGCAAAGTCAACATCTTTGCATTTTCTCGCTCCAGAGTTAACAAACAGATAGGCAAATGCAACACCAAAGGCACCTGATCGACGTGGATGATGAAACAGTCTTGACACTTGCTGTAAGTGCAAATATAAAGTGCTGTGTGTCTCACTTTTGTTATCCCAAGGCTCGATTCAATGTGAACCCAATGCACCTGCTATCTTCGATGCAGCAAAAAAAGGAAGAATTCTACAGAACAACTGAGGCATTGCCTAATCACATGACGGTCATCGACTGAATATATTACAGACAAGATGCTTCGTGGACTCTTTTCTCAAGAAGAATATCATAGTAGATCTTCCAGTATCAACAACTGCTAGGTGATTGTTGCATGCATATGTAATGAGTCACTCACTATGCACTCACCTGTTCAGGTATTTAGTTTGTCCGAAGTCTGTGGAGGGATGGCTCGCGTGGTTAACTACCACCAAAGAAGCGTTCAAAGCTGGAAACATGGATTTCTATCTAGCTGATGCTGACAACCAGACTTACTCGGTGAGTGTTTCTGAATCGACTTCATCTGTCTGACATGAAGGAATTTCAGAGTTTGAACTTGCAGAGAGAGAATTACTTAGAATCACTCAACATGGTGGCCATCCAATCGTTGGGCGAGAGCGAAAGGAAATTGATTCAAGCTGACCTCAAGTTTGCCCGTGACAGAATGCATGTAAGTGCTTCACTTTTCATTGATTCTGCTTTGATTTGTGCTTTTGAAAGCACTTCTTCTCGGGTTGGTGGAGATGTGAATTCTGCAACGCATCGTGTTTTCAGTCGCTGGCAGAAATGACTGAACATGAAGAAACATGCTCTCAAGCCGATGCACAAGAATTTCAAAATCGTAGGTTGAAGGGGAAGCCAGATATTGGGTTTGCGAATGCATCGCCTTGTGGAGATAAGGAAGCACTTGAAAAGATGGAAGACACTGCTAGGGCATTTCTTGAGGCTGCAGTAGATGAAGATCTCACCTGGAGAACCTTTCTGCCAGCAGAGGTAAACTGTAGTGGTCTGGCTCTTCATGGATGACTTGAAACAGGTTGAAGAAGGAGAATTTACCCTGTTCCACGTTTTTCAGACAGTTTTTCCTAGTTGCGCTCATCCGATTCATGGTCTGAAGATTGAACAGTTTAATGCTCTTGCCAAGGAGCTTTTTCCTGTTCGAGAGAACGTGTTTCCAGGTACCATAAGGTTTGAGCCTATCCTTTATCTGATGACTTTGAAAGGGATTAAGAAGATCTTTCTTGGTGCTAGCTTGCGAGACGTGAAGGCAGATGGCGAAGGGAGCAAGTTCTGGAGAACTTTTGTGCAATGTCTCGGTGTCAACGAAAAACGAGTCGAGGAAATCCAAGATATCATACTTCAATATAAAGAGGCTTGGGAAAGCCGTCTGGATGAGTTGTTGCAGAAATTGCCTGCTCATCTGGATTTTCTTTCATTGAACAACTCTAGAAAATTAGCGAAGGCAGACCAGTGTAACACGCAACCCAACAAATCCCTAGATGAAATCTTTGCTGTGAAGGAAACAGTTGTTGAATCTGAGCTCTCTGCGGCCGCTTCGACTTCAAATGGTACGCGATTCTGCCTGTGAATGGAGTGACTGAAAATCTTCCCAGATCCATCTCAAACACAGGCAGAAGCGGATGATGGGAAACCGCCAACTTCTGATGCGCCAATTCGTGCTGGAGACTGGGTCATGCTGCATTCGTTGAGGAACAGTACAGACTACAACTCAAGGTGGTTTTGCTATACCATTGTCATATCAGCTCTTGACATGTGCAATAGCATTGGGATTGTGCTGTTATGGAATGTGCACGAGGAGATGTTCAAAGTGAAACTTCTCGAAGGACAAACCGTCATGTTAAAAACATGCAATCTCATCAAGATCTTTGGACCAACTGGTAATCAACAGGCCTCAGGCGCAAACGATTCCAAAGCTGCAGAGCTCAATCAGACTAAGGATTTCAAAATTATTGCTTGTTTGAACAAGCATGCCGAAAGGGAGTTCACCATCGTTACCTCAGGCAACGCTTCAGATGTTATTGAGAAAGTCAAACTCTTGGAAACAACAGATAATACTGAAAGCATTTCTGCTTTTCGTGAGATGCAGAAGCATGGTCTACACTGTGTAGGGAAACATATGGGAAAGCCGTTGCTGATTGGTCATACTGTATCGGAATCAGACTTGAAGGATGGAGAAAGTTGGAGAATTTCATTTCAGACAGCGAGTGTAATTCTTGACAAGATTTCAAATTCAAACGTGGACCTTTTGAAAGGTATGCAGTTTCTACCTGAGCAAGCTGCTGTGCAACTAAGTTGAGTAAGGTGGACGGGTTGAAGATGATAGAGAGAATGATGAAGACAATCACTCGGAATCCCAACCAACGTATTCATCAACTCTTTCCCATCTTGATGCCGTTGCTGCGACCAGTGGTGCAAAATCATCTTGCAACGAAACTGCAAGTAGGTCGATTTTTCAAATTTCTTCCTGAATGTGACAACAATCTCTTTCAGACCACATAGCAGCTAAACCCAATGTTTCAACAAATAGTGACGGCGTGTTTTCCTTTACACCGCCCAACGCAGCGAGCTTAGAAACACGCAAGTCTGAAGCAGGCTCTAGCAGTACGTGGGCTTTCGAATGCTCGACTGCAACCGCTGCTCCGTCCTCTTCCACTGCTTCAACCGCTGCTCCATTTTCTTCCACTGCTTCAACCGCTGCTCCATCCTCTTCCAACTCTTTAGAGCCGCAGCCTCCACCTGCCTTTGTGTTCGGTGCTGCTGCTGCTGCACATCCAAGCTCGTCAGCCTTCTCCTTTGGAAGCAATCTTTCGTTTCAAGGGTCCGCAGCAACTCCGGCTTCGACTTTCTTGTTCCTGAGCGCTGCAGGTCAGGAGAAGAAGAAGAAGCAGACAGGCGGGACGGAGCGGAGGCAAAGATTTATTTCTTGCGGCCGAGGCCGGTCGGAGCAGCGTGAGTTTGCTTCGCAGGTTGTTGACGTCATGTACAAGTTTGTTTTTTGACGTACTCTGCCCTCAGCTGGGTACAAGGAGGCCTCTAGGGCGGGGACGAGGAGTCCGAGCGCAAGACATTCCATGGGTGCACTTTGCGTTGATCACCGACACGCAACAGATCGGCTCCGGCCCCTTCAAGCTCGTCTACAAGGCTCGATGGCTGAGCACTCCAGTCGCCATCCAGCGCATCCGAGGCAGCGGGGAAACTGGGAGGAGGGAGGAGTTGGCGAAGGAGGTGAAAGGGTTCAAGCAGCTGGGCGAACACCCGAATCTTGTCCGCTATCTTGCTATCAGCATAGAGCCAATGTCTGGTGACTACTGCATGGTGACAGAGTTTGCGCCCTTGGGGTCCTTGGATGTCATCTTGGCGAACCTTGCTGAGGACGGGGAGACAATTGACCTGCTGGCGCAGCTGCAGGTGGCCAGGCAGATCTGTGAAGGGATGTTACGGCTGTCGCTGCGTAAGGTCGTGCATGGAGACCTGGCGGCGAGGAACGTGCTTGTGTTCCGTCTAGATGCGCAGAATCACATGGATGTAAGTGTCAAGATTGCTGACTATGGGCTTTCGATCATGGCTAACCGCGCGTATGGGGAGGGTCGAGCTGTAAGCGTGAGCACGGCAGGGTTGACGGCTCGGCCGATGCGGTGGATGGCGCCGGAGAGCATCAGGAGAAGGCGGTTCTCGGAGAAGAGCGACGTGTGGGCGTTCGGGGTGACCATGTGGGAGGTCTGGACGTACGCGGAAGTACCCTTCTGCACCATTGAAGATGATGGGCTGGTGGGATCCAAGGTACTTGATGGGGACCGACTCCCGAGGCCCCCGTCATGCCCGGCAACAGTGTACGGCATCATGCAGGAATGCTGGAGGGAAAAATCATTTCAACGGCCAAGTTTCGGCGATTTATGTAAAAGGCTCCAGAAAGAATATGAAGCCAAGGCAAGAGCGAGAGTTCGGGGAGTGGCAGGAGATAACCAGCAGTGCGTCTGCGTCCTCTGCATGGAGCGGAAAGCTGACTGGGCGCTGATACCCTGCGGACACCTGTGTCTCTGTGAACAGTGCAAGGATGGAGCGACTGACAGGCCATGTCCACTTTGTCGCTCCAATCCCACAAGCGTGAACAAGATTTTCTGAAAGACTCGGACTTTGCGGCGAAATTTCCCAGCTTTGACTCAGCACGGTGAGACCCCGGGCCCCTCTCAACCGGGCCCTCCCAATGGTAGAAATTGAGCTTCAATTTGAACTCAGGAATATAGTACGGTATGGATCTTTGCTTTCGAGTCTACATACCACAAAACAAAAAAAAACAATAAAAAAACAAATAATACTACTACCGGGCAGTGCGCCCCGGCTGCCGCGGCCGAGTCCCAGCCATCATGCCTGATCGGGGGCCCCAGGTTCGGCCCGGCCCGCCGCCGGGCCAAGCAGGTCAACCAACATACGCGGTTACCTCCTTGGACTGCCGCAGTGCCCTTAAAAAAGAGAACCTGATTGCTCCCCTCAACTACATCCCATGAACTAGCCGCTCCTGCTCCTGCTCCTGCTCCTGCTCCTGCTCCTGCTCCTGCTCCTGCTCTCTACACCTGCTCCCTGCTCCTGCTCCTGCTCCTGCTCCTGCTCCTGCTCCTCCTGCTCCTCCTGCTCCTCCTGCTCCTCCTGCTCCTGCTCCTGCTCCTGCTCCTGCTCCCTGCGCCCTGCTCCCTGCTCCCTGCTTCTGATCCCCTCGTCCGCATCCCCTCACCTGAACCTCTCAGTCTCCATCCTTCCTCTACACTTCAACTTGCTCTCCTCCCTGCTTCTGCTATCTCAGCATCCTACGCGTCCTCGTGAACATCTCCATCTCTTCGAGGATGAGAGCAATACGCTCCCTCCTCGTGCTCTCCCTCAGCTCCCTCTCTCTCCCCACCTTCACCAACGCGTTCCTCCATCCATGCAACTACTTCCCAGCTCCTCGCCAGCGCCAGCTCATGTACGGGAGGAGGAGCATGGCAGGCAGACATTCGCTGCCTCGTGTGTCTTGCCAGAAGGCGCAGGCAGAGAGAGAGCGCGTGCTCATTGACAGGGCTTCCAACATGAAACGACTGAGAGCGAAGGAGGAGGGGAAGGAGGAGCGGGGATCGACGATTGTCGACGAGGGAAGGAGGATAGTCTTCCTCTGCTGTCTCGTGGGAGCCGTCTCCTCCCTCGATCGCCAGGCCATGAGCATCGCCATTGTACCGATGAGCGGCGACTTCGGGTACACAGAGACAGTCAAGGGCTCCATCAGTTCTATCTTTTCCTTGGGGTACACCCTTGCCCTCCCTCCCCTCGGCCTCGCTCAGCAGCTCTCCTCGCCTCGCCTCCTCCTCGCCTCCGGCGTTGCCAGCTGGTCGCTCTTCACCCTGCTCACTCCGCTGGCGGCTGAGCAAGGGGTCAGCTACCTGCTAGCTGCACGGTGTGACCTCCCCCCCCCGCCCCCCAGCTCCTCCCTTCCCTCCTCCTCCTCCTCCTCCCTTGCTCTGCCTCGTTGTCATGGTGTTGAACGTGGAAGTAGAGGAGGACAAAGCTGACGAGTGTGCTGAAGGGAGAGGTGGAGGAGGGGAGGTGCTGATGGA